TCGAGGTCGGCCGCCCCGTCCGCGGAAGCATGGCCCCGCCGCACCGCGCGCCGCCGCAGCGGCGGCGGGCGCCGCGGTGGCCAGCGGGGAGCCCAGGAAAGGCATTGTGGAGGTGCTTGCGGGCGCCTGGGGAAGGTACTTGTGCAGTGCCTGCGGGCGGCCCAGGAAAGATTCCTTGGAGGTGCCAGCGGCCAGCCCTGGAAAGACACTTGCGAGGTGCCTGCGTGCGGCCTTGGAAGGGCTCTTGGGAGGCTCCACGTGCAGGACCTCCTCCTCCACGTGCGCGTTGTCTTCCTTCCTGGCGGCAGCCCGCCGCGCAGCGCGGCGCTGGCGGCGGCGCCGACGCTTCGCAACCCTAGCGTCGGCGGCCGCCACATCTTCGCCATCAGGAGGACCATCACCTTGCTCACGAGGTACGTCTTCAGCAGGGCCGCGGGCGGCGGGCGGCGCAGGCGGCGCGGAGTGCCCGAAGAGTGCCGCCGACACCGCTGAGCGCGCCATCGCCGCGACCGTCCACCTCGGCGCCTGCACGGCAACCGCCCCGCGCACAGCAGCATTCACGAGGGCCGCGGCCAGCGCGGGGGCGGGAGCCCCTCTAGCCCGTCGCGCGGCGGCCTCCATCCCAGGGACGGCGGGCAGCGCACCAGGCATGCGAACGCTTGAGCCAACATGGCAGGAGAAACAGGAGGAGGATGAGGAGGAGGAGGAGGAGGAGGAGGAGGAGGAGGAGGAGGAGGAGGAGGAGGAAGAGAGAAAAGGAGAAGAGGAGGAGGAGGAGGAGGAGGAGGAGGAGGAGGAGGAGGAGGCGGAGGAGGAGGAGGAGTTAGAGGAGGTAGGAACGATGAAGGAACGAAGGATGGGGGCAGGAGGAGGCATCGGGGGGAGCATTCACCGCTCCTCCTCGTCCGTGAAGAGATGTGCAGGGTGTGTACGCCTGCCCTGCGTGCCTGCCTTTCTGCCTGCCTGTCTTCGCTTCACTCCTTCTCCTTTCCTTTCCTCCTCCTCCTCCTCATTCCTCCTCCGCCCTCACTCCTCCTCCTCCTCCTCCTCCTCCTTCTCACTCCTCCTCCTCCTCCTCCTCCTCCTCCTCCTCGTCCTCCTCCTTCCTACTCCGTCTCTTTCTACACCATCATCCTTTCTCCTGCCCCCTCCTTCCTGCCTGCCTGAGGGGTCACGACAAGAAGGATCAAAGAGGGAGGACGCAAGAGGGACGAGACAAATTAGGCCCCCATCTCCTCTGATGATCGACTCCTTTCTGCTGATCGGGCTCACTCCAAGAGTCTGACAATAACGACTGTCGTTCGATGTTTGTTGTTGGTTTCTCTCACTCTCTCCTACTCTCTCTCTCTATATATATATATATATATATATCGGAGGTGAGGGGGTGAGATCGAAGTGGAACGGAGAGCCCCCCTACCAAGAAACCGATTTCGGTTTCGTGTTCGTGCGTGCCGTGCGGGCGAGGCGAAGCTGCGTGGGCGGGCGAGAGGAAGTCTCCTGTGGCTGAGGCGCGGCCGGACCAAATGTCTCCCTTCCGGGCGGCCGGGGGCCCGCGGTGTCCCGCTGGTGTCCCGCGAAAGTCCCGTGTGGCTGAGGCGCGGCCGGACCAAATGACTCCCTTCCGGGCGGCCGGGGGCCCGCGGTGTCCCGCCGGTGTCCCGCTGTGTCCCGCGGTGTCCCGCGGTGCCCCGCGGTGTCCCGCCGGTGTCCCGTTGTGTCCCGCGATGATGATGATGATGATGATGATGATGATGATGATGATGATGATGATGATAATGATGGTGATGCTGATGATGATGATGATGATGTTGTTGCTGATGATGATGATGACGATGATGATGGTGATGCTTATGATGATGATGATGATGATGATGATGACGATGATGATGATGATGATGATGATGATGATGATGATGAGGACGATGATGGTGATGATGAAGATGACATGATGATGATGGTGTCCAGATGATGATGATGATGATGCTGATGATGATGATGATGATGTCGATGATGAGGATGATGATGACGATGATGATGATGCTGATGGTGTCCCGATGATGAGGATGATGATGATCATGATGACTATGTTGATAATCATGATGATGACGATGATGGTGTACCGATGATGGTGAGTATTATGATGTTGATGTTGATGATGCTGATTACGATTGTGTCCCGATGATGATGATGTTGATGATGATGAGGTTGATGATGATTATGGCGTCCCGATCATGATGATTATTCTGATGGTGATGATGATGTTGATGATGATGGCGTCTCGATGGTGATGATGATAATGATGATGATGATGATGATGATGATGATGATGGTGATGATGTTGATGCTGATGTTGGTAATGATGATGATGGTGCCCCGATGATGACGATGATGATGCTGATGATGATGATGATGATGTCGATGATGAGGATGAGATGATGATGATGGTGTCCCGATGATGATGATGATGATGATGATGATGATGATGATGATGATGATTATGATGATGCTGATGATGACGATAACGCTGGCGATCATGATGGTATCCCGATGATGATGCCGCTGCTGATGATGATGATGACGATGACTGTGTCCCGATGCTGCTGATGATGATGTTGATGATGATGATGATTGTGATGATGGTGATGATGATGATGATGATGATGATGATGATGATGATGATGATGATGGTGTCCCGATGATGTTGATGACCGTGATGATGAAGATGTTGGTGTTGATGATGAGGACGGTGTCCCGATTATGATGATGTTGGTGATGATGATGGTGATGTTGATGTTGTTGTTGATGATGATGACGTTGATTGTGAGAGCGGTTGTGATATCGATAGTGAGATCGATAGTGAGACCGAATGTGATATTGATTGTGAGATCGGTTGTGAGATCGATTGTGAGATCGATCGTCAGATCAATTGTGAGATAGATCGAGTGAGATCGGTTGTGAGATCGATCGAGGGAGATCGATCGAGCGAGACCGATACTGAGATCGATAGTGAGATCGATTAGTGAGACCGATCGAGTGAGACGTTGGTTCCCCCCCCGAACCTCCTTATCACCCGAAGGGTGGTCGTATAGGTATGTATATATGTCTGTCCTTCTCCGTCTCTCCCTCCCGCTCCACCGTCTCTGTCCTGTCCCCGTCCCTGTAGCTGGGAAAGGAGGGAGGAGGGCGGAGGGCGAGGGGGGAGACGGGAAGAGGGGGGCAGACGGGAGGAGGGGCAGGCCGAGGCGGCCAAGGCGGACGAGAGAGAAACCGCTGCTGATGACCAGGGAGGGCACGCGATTTCATGTGGAGGAGGGTGGGTACAGTCGGGGCCCTGAAGAAGGAACCCTTTTCGTTGGGGAGGGGCTCCGCGTTCCTTAAGGGTTTCACAGCTTGCCTCAGGCTTTCCTTATGTTTTCGACGGGAAATCGAAGTTTAACCCATGGAAAAAGGGGCCTCGCTCCTTATTTAGGGTTCCTTAGGTCAACGCCACGACGGTACAGCGCGAGGACACGAGACCCTTCCCAGGGCCACATTGCCACAGGAATGTGAGAAGGCATGGGTCGCGAAGCTCAGGACACAACGGGTACCCTCGACGTGGCAGGGTCGACCTACTAGTCAGTCTCGACTGTAGGGCGGGCAGGTGATTTTACTTGGACGGGGGGGGCACTTGGAACTGAGGAGGAGAGAAAGGCGATCACGATATCACTGCCACCCTGCGAATGGGGAGGCCCCGAAAAGGACAATGTTCTCTCCTTTGGCCTCAGATCCCGCGCCGCCATTGAGCCCCCCAGTCAAGCCTGGCGTCACGCTGGTGATGTCGTGCAGCAGGTCACTGCCCACCAGGCCAGTGATCACGCTGAACGAGATGGACGTCACCTACTTCGGCGGGAGGGAAGGGAGAAGAGGGATGGATGAGGCAAGGGTTATGGGATCGAAGAGGATAATGCGGTGTATACGGAGGATGGGGAAGAAAGACACAACGACGGATAATGAGAGGAGGAGGAGACAGTGGAGGAGCATGAGAAATGATAATGAGTACTGGCGGATGGGACGGGGGCTCGGAGGATGCTGTGGGTAGGGGCATCTTGGGCAGTCCAACGGCCGCTGCATGCGCAAAGTGGAAACCCTGACATCGAGTGAACTCTCTCTCTCGCTATCAGCAGCTCTAGTTAACGTGCCAAGCCAGCTCTGTCAACAACCCGAGACTGCCATGGCCCTGTCGGCCATGGCCAGCAACAAGTTCTGGCACCATAGAGTATCTCAGCCAACGCTGATTCATAATGCAGGTGGCACGTGCACGCACGCCCAAGATCATACAAACACATGTGCTGGAAGCATATATATATATATATTATATATATGTATGTGTGTGGTGTGCTTTTTTGCGTTCTGCGTGGTGTGCGTTGAGTGCGCGTGCTGTGTGTGTGTGTGTTGTGTGCTATGTGCGGGTTCTGTAAAGGGCATGTCTAATATGCGCGTTACGTGTGTGTGTTATATATATATGTGTGTGTGTGTTGAGGATGAGGGCGGACGAGGGACATGAGGAGGACGCGCGAGGATGGAGGAGGAGGACCTCCTTCCTCGACGATCCTCGATCCCCCCCTCGACGACCCTCCCCCCTCGACGAAGCGGCGGCCCGCTGCTCGGGAGCGCCGGCGGGCCGCGGGGCCGCCCCGCGGGCCGCGGAGGCCTCGCTGCGCTTCCCCGCGCCGACGGGCAGGTTCACGCGCCCGTGGGCGTGGGTCGCGGCCTGGCGTGATATCCCCCTCCTCCTCCTCCTCCTCCTCCTCCTCCTCCTCTCCTCCTCCTCCTCCTCCTCCTCCTCTTCCTCCTCCTCCTCCTCCTCCTCCTCCTCCTCCTCCTCTCCTCCTCCTCCTCCTCCTCCTCCTCCCTCCTCCTCCTCCTCCCCCTCCCCCTCCCCCTCCTCCTCCTCCTCCTCCTCCTCCTCCTCTCCTCCGCCTCCTCCTCCTCCTCCGCCTCCCGAAACGCGGTCCAAGCGTCCGCAGAGCGCGCTCCGTCATACTTCCCAGCCGTCCTGTGGTGTTGGGCTCTCGTGTGGAAAATGTGGATCGCCCCGCGTTCCCTCCCCTCCGTCCTTCCTCCTCCCCGCTCCTCCCCTCCCTCCAACCCCCTCCTGCCCTCTGCCCTCCGAGTGTCCACTTCGGCACACCGCTCATACGTTTCGTGTCCCCGCAGGGAGATCCACCGAAGGCCCCCATGGCGCAGTCCGCATGCGTCGCCCCCCCGCCCATTACGGCACGCCCCTCGCACGGTTCGTGGCCCCATAGGGGGGCTCCAACGAAGGCACCAAAGGCGCAGTCCGCATGCGTCTCCCCAACCCATTACGGCACAACCTTCGCACGGTTCGTGGCCCCTTAGGCACCTCCACCGAAGGCCCCAATGGAACGGTCACCTCTCACGGCTCGTGGCACCATAGGGAGTTCCACCGTTGGCCCAAGTGGCGCAGTCCTCATGCGTCTCCCTTACCCAATACAGCCCTTCGTGGTCCCATAGACAGCTCCACCGAAGGCCGCAGTGGCCGCGACGGCATGCGTCTCCCCCACCCAGTACAGCGCTTCGTGGCCCCATCAGGAGTTTCACCGAAGGCCGCAGTGGCCGCGACGGCATGCGCCCCCCCCCCCCCCCCCCGCCCAGTGCAGCGCTTCGTGGCTCCATAGGGGGGCTCCGCCGAAGGTCCCAGCGGCGGAGCTCGCATGCGTCTCCCGCACACATTACAGCGTTTCGTGGCCCAGTAGGAAGCCCCACCGAAGGTCCCAGCAGCGGAGCTCGCATGCGTTTCCCCCACGCAGTACAGCGTTTCGTGGCCCTGATCAGCAGGTCGACCTTGCCAAATCAAGGGTGCCCTTGTGTCCTGTGTCTAGTGACCCATGCCGCCTACATTCCTATGGCAATGTGCCCCTCGGGAGGGTTTTGTGTCCTCTCGCGTGTCCTGTCCAATCAAGTCCGACTGTACAGCGCTTCGTGGCCGCATCGGGAGCGCCACCGAAAGCCCCAGTGGCCGCGGCCGCATGCGTCACCCCCGCCCAGTACAGCGATTCGTGACCCCATAGGGGATGGGGAGGGGGCTCCACCGGCGACCCCGAGGGTCGCGGCCGCATGCGTCTCCCCCGCCCATAACGGCATACCCCTCACGCTTTTCTGGCTCCACAGGGAGCTCTACCGACATCGATACCCACAATGCGGGACCCACAACTGCACATGGTTTTGCCACTCCCCTGGCTAATGTTTGCCGCGCGTTGTTATTAGCATCAGTGTTCGTAGTATTACCAACAATGTTACGACTACTAATATTGTTACTACTATTATACTTACTATTATTAATACTGTTACTATTATTATGATGATTGCTAGTATTATGACGTATAGTATTATCAGCATGATTATGAAGATACTTATGCTTTTATGGGTATACGTATGTTAGCCAGCAGTGACCCCAGACAATGTGTTCTAGCATACTATGTAGTGCAATGTACGTGGTACACTGTACGAGGTGTACGCTGTTTGGTGCAACCTATGTTGTGTATGCTATGCTGTGCAGTCGCTGCGGGGCAACACTTAAGCGATGCAAACTACGTGATGCCATACACGTTGCGTAAACTATGTACTGCAATACCTGTGATGCGAGCTACGTTTTGCAATGTATGTGGTGCAAGCTAAGTGGTGCAATATACGAGGCGTGAACTATGTTGTGCAATCTATGTGGTGTAAGCTATGTGGTGCAGTCTACCGTGATGCGATATATGTGGTGCACACTCTGTGGTGCAGCATCGGTGGCGTACGCCACGCACTGCACTATTTATACACAATTGTCATGTGGTGTCAGCTACGTGGTGCAACTCATGTTGTGCAATATATGTGGTAACATTTGCATCCATAAACACACGCATATATGTAAGTCTCCTCTGCGGCGGTGGTGATCCAAACCTTGAAGGTGTGGGCACGTCGTGCCCCCAATTGGGAAATCAGTTTCGAGTTTCGGTTTCTGCATTCCCCACCCCACTCTCCTTATCAGCTGTTCATTGTATTGCGCCCAAGATTGATGAAGATAGGTGGGTGATGATTCTTCCGTTGGCTTCAGCAGGTCCTCTCCCAAGCGGGGGAGGAAGGCAGGCCTCCCCCCGAACCCGCTCGAGGAGGCTAGCGTACAAGGTCCCAGTCAGTGATGTCTGGCCACACCCCTTGGTGGGCTGTCCATCCCTGCCGGTAGCGGTCGGTCACGTCTCCCCGCGACGCTTTGTCAATGGGGTTATCTTCACTCGTCACCCGCTCAATCCAGGCGTGCAGCTCTCTCTCTCGCGGAACATTTCCAATGTCCGGTGCGTGATCACATTGAGGGACGTCACTGAGCTGTTGCCTTTGATGAGCGTGCTCTTGGCTGTCTCGTTGTCGATGAAGGCCAGCACCATGCCCCCTCGGAGCTCTGGCCATGTGTTCATCGCCAGCATGGGTCCTACTGCCTCGATCTCGTTGATGTCGATGTCTTTGCTGCCCTGCTTCCACGCCTCCCGCCACTCCGGCGGCACCCTGGCGCGAGTGACCCGTGGCGCCCAATCGCTCTGTCGGGGCCGCCACCAGCCCGCCGCCACCCAGCCGGTTCCTTCACCATCCGTCACGATGATGTGAAGGTCCATGCGTTCCGGCGAGTACGGGATCGGCTTCCCTCCAGCGATTTTGAGCACGCGTACCCAGAACAGCAGGGATGCCCGCAGCGCTGGGTTGAGTCGCAGGTGTTGTTTGTTGTGTTGTCGCTCTGCGAGGGGACGGAGCGCCGCCGCTCCAAACCGCCCAAACTGGAACGAGCGCGCCCACCCCAGCTGCCCTCGGAGCGTGCCTGCCTCCGAGCTCGTCATTGAACCACTGTCGAGGTGGCCGTGTATCCGAGCGAGGATCGCCTGCAATTTGGCTGGGTGGAGGCAACTATGGGGCTCCCCCGCGCCAAGGTAATGCAGGCCTCCCAACAGCTTGAATGGATCAGCTGGCGGTGGGCTTTTCTCCATGTCGATGCGCCACCCCACCAGGGTGTTCAGCTCAATCCAGAGACGGTGCGCTTGCTGTGCTAGTCTGGCCGGCTCCACTCCCCACGCGTCGTCCGCGTAATGGGAGATCGCCAGCATCAGCATGGATCTGCCGATCGCCACCATGGCGGCAGGGTCCCGGACGTAGTTGAATTGCGACAGCGCGCCTCCGAACGGCTGTCCGTCTACGTCTACCACTCGGACCTTTTGTTCGTGTGGGTCCCACACAATCTCCAAGGTTAGATGCGCTTGGTCTGGGTCTGTTGGGCTCTGGCGGAAAGCCATCTCGTAGTCCACTCGGTATCCCATGAGCGGCACGTGGTCGCCGAACGTTTCTTTCCACCATCTCGTGACGGCCCACAGCTGGACCAAGTCCTCTGGGGTATACCGCTGAGCCAAGTCGACTGTGTCGTTCCCGCCCGAGCGCTTGAAGTCGCTGATGGGTCGGGCCGTCCACTCGCCAGTCTCCTTCAGCTCCCACTTGGGGAATCGTGGAGTGAGGCAAACTTCGTGCAAGTCGAATTCGTCGAGGTCGCGGATGGTGGCGTATCCTCGCTGGACTTCTTTCCGGACCTTGTCCCAGACTTTCTTGTCAAGCTCCGGATCGCGATTTGCTTTCACCGACCGTATCATCTCTAGATTCCGGTCCCGTGGGTTCGCCGCCCAATCGGTCAACGATGTCAACGCCCGGGATTGCTGTGGCGGATACAACCCTGTAGTCAGCATGCCTGTGCCGAGCATCGGGCGCCCCTGCATTAACGACTTCATGTATTCAGCGTCTTCCGTGTACCCTATGGTCTGGAGGAGTGCTTCCAGCAGTGGCAGGTGCAGGTGTCCAATCACGCGTCGGACACGTGGGTGCAGCTCTTCCACGTACCGCGGCCTGAACTCCTTGGGTGGGATAGGGCATTAATCAGACGGCCCTCTGAAAACAAACTCGTGCCAAATCCTGTCTTTCTTACGCTGTCCACGGGCACGTTCCCCCTCGCTCTTATCCGCAACCGGGAAAATGAACCGATCCGCACCTTGCGGACGGTTCCGGGCCTCTGGGCCCGCGGCATCAATCCTTTCCCCGGCGTGCATCTGAAGCCGCGTCAGAGCATGCGAGCTCCCAGAGTTTCGTATTCCGGGCGCCCTCCGGAAGGCTCTCGGCGAGGGGCAGTTCAGACAGAGGCGAAGACGGACATGGTCCGGACCACAACCAAACCTCCGCGGCAGGGAAGGGCAGAGAAGGGAGGGGGGGGAGAGGGGCGGGACGGTGGACCAGCACGCGGGATTGGATGCGGAACCGGCCGCTAGATGATCCCCCCAAGTTGGCGCCACCGCCCCCCCCGCTCTCCGCCGCGACGCCCTTCCCGGGAGGGCGTGCTGGAGGCCGGCGGTCGGCTCCCTGATCGTCGTCGCCTTCGCCGCCGTCGTTATCGCCACCCCGTCGTCGTCCCCCCCCCCTCCTGCTTCCTTTTCCCTCGCGCCCCTTGCCCCCCGGACAACTGCGTTCCCTGCGTCCAGGGACCGCGCCGCCAGAGCGCCCGAACCGTCTGGGGGGGGGCGCGGCGAAGGGGGACGGGCGGAGGTGGCGAATTCATAAACCCCCCTGGCATACAGGAAGGGGGAGGGGGGGATGGGGCGGCATTGCCCTACGAGGGGGGACGGAGAACGGCGGTGTGCCCTTTGAGGCACCTGAAGGTAGAGGGACAGCGGGCGTTTGGTTGTT